TTTTTTACAACTCAGTAAATCGAAGAATTTTCGATTTTTTACACTAAATAAACTGAAGCTAGGCAACAAAATAAAAAAATGAGTAACTAAGCAGAAGTAAATGTTCCAAGTATATCAAAAATTATTGCCATCAATATACATAGGCATTTTAACTATTCCACAGATACATGTGTTTCCAATAAACTTATCATGTCACCAATCTATAAGAAGTAAAAAAATACAATTTTTTAGGAAGTAACCGATAACAAAAGAATACTAATGTTCATAATTGATTTATAATCCGCTGTGCAATCATAAGATGTCATCTGGCAAAGTCGACAATAGAAGAGTGCAAAATTTTTACTGTATTATCTACACTTCGTTAACCTTCTGAGGTAATTCGCTGTTGGCAAAAAAAGTCTTGTCTTGGCATCTTTGTTGACAGAGAGCAATAGATGCTATTCCACTGGTAGTTTTTAAAGTGCATACAATAGTGTTCTACAAAATATGTATCACACAGTTATTTTGCGAAGCATATTGCAGGTAAACAGACTTAGACATGCTTGTCGAAAGTATTTGAAAGCGGCAGACTCTTTGAAACTACTAGACGAGCCTATGAAACCGTGCCTTTCTTCTATGGCGTATACTATTTTTGTTGCTTAACAACGTCATTATTGTAGCTTTCCAAATCATTTTTCGATGAAATTATCCGGATATATGCATTTTGTACCGTTTTCAAAATGCTTGTGAGTAAAATTTGTCGGATAGCCACGGAATTCATAATAATCCTTTTTTTTTAAAGGATATAAATACGACAGCATTTATGCTGCTTATGCAACTAAAAGAGAATGCTGCAGGAATCCGTTTCCACAGAGTTCCGGCTATCCTCACTGAATAAACCGCGTAAACGTACACCTTATCCGCTTATTTGCTTCGTCAGTAAGATTCGTTTCAAGCAGTCTTAGTGGAAAACGCTTCAACATTTCAGAAAATTACACTAATTTGCATATGTAAGTTACGCAATTCATCTGGGTTCCTTTTTTTTCCTTGCTGTTCAGATCCGTGCTACATCATCCTCCCACACAGGTGTCTTAACACCTCAATCATTTTCAAAAAGAAACCTCGGGACAGTTACACAAACACTTCCCGCTTTTTTAACAAAATGACACTAGCTACAATCTGTCGGTAAAATCGGTATTTATAGGCGCCAAAGAGCGAAGCTGAAAAAGGGTGGAGTTTATGCGCTCTTTGGCGAGTATAAAAATGAGACTATCGATTTTTGCAAGAATGATCGATGCTGCGCAGCAGTTTCGCGCACTTTGCAGATGCTGGTAGTCCCTAGACGTATGTCGCTTATAAAATCCTGTTTTTTTCTTTTTTTTTTTCTTTTTTCATTTTGGCTTCGTTTTGGAAACTTATGGTTAACCTGGAGTCTTAGGTATTATTCAAATGGTCCAGTTGCAGGCAGTAATAGGATTTTCTGATGTTGTTTCTGTTCAAGAACTGGGCATTTGGCAACCATGTAGTATTATTATTTGTTTTTGTACGCTTTTGCTCTGATCGTTGAGCAGATTTTGTTTGGTTGGTTACGTTGACGCGGAGTTGAGGCGTTGAGGTTGAAGATTAACTGCAAAAAGTCCATTGTCTGTGACTAAGGTAGTCTCATCGAAATTTCTCTGTAATTTTACATTGGGGATGCATAGTATGATTAGCTTGTTACTTCGTTCCATTTTCAGTCATCTGGGAAAGCTTAACTCGGCTGGTTTTTGAAAATTTACGACTTCTATTGTTGTTGTTCTCCTGTGAAGGGCTGTTAAACCTTCTCGTTCTTTGCTTTTAGGCATCATGTCAGGTCGGGGTAAAGGAGGGAAAGCAAAATCTTCTGCCAAAGCAAAAACTCGTTCAAGCAGGGCCGGTTTGCAGTTCCCTGTTGGTAGAATTCATCGTTTGCTGCGAAAGGTTGGTTATAAACTGTTGTTTCTTTGTTAAGGATCTGTGTCACTTCGTTATAGCCGAGCTCTGGTTTCGTTGAAACTTGGGATCTCCAGTTTTATAGGGAAATTATGCTGAGCGAGTTGGTGCTGGTGCCCCTGTCTATCTGGCAGCAGTCCTGGAATATTTAGCTGCTGAAGTGTTAGAGCTTGCTGGCAATGCAGCTCGCGATAATAAAAAAAGTCGTATTAATCCGCGACATTTGCAACTTGCTGTTCGTAATGACGAAGAATTGAATAAGCTTCTTTCCGGTGTTACAATAGCGCAAGGCAAGTTTTAAGGCCTTTTCTTTAACTGATATATTTTCGTATATAATGGTAAGGGAAAATCTAGGTAACTACGGAAGTGAAGTAGAAAGGAAAATTTATATTTGTGTTTAAGTGTTGGGGAATTGTTCATTCAGTTGTAGATTGCATTATTTCAGTTTTGATTTGATTTTTCTGATACCTTAGTATACCTTAACTCCTTGACGCCTTGGATTTTTTCAGGTGGTGTGCTTCCAAATATACACGCAGTACTCCTGCCGAAGAAAATTGCTGGTGAAAAAGACTAATGTAAATTGTCGTATCGGAGTATAATGGGATCTTGAAGCATGTTTAATGTATCGTGTAATTTTTTCTACTTTATCGTGTAATTTATTCTGTCCATTGTATTTAAACTTGCACTTACAATTTAATAAACTTATTATACATACTTCATGGAAACACTTTTGCGACATTTTATGGGATAAGTTCGCTCATATACCGTCAGATGTTGAGGGATATAAAAACTTTCTGTTGCTCATGAGGAGAATGTTTCTTACCGACGTCATCGCTGCTAGAAAGAATTCAGACTTGTAAGGGGAGGATTCCGTGATTGTGGTAAGGCTCAGTTCTTCGTGACTGCTAAGTAGTTAGCTTTATTTCAGCTGAGTCTTTATGAGTTCTGGCTTTGGGCTTTAAGAGTTGAAGTGGCGGAGCAAGGATTGCAATGTCGCGGTCTCACAATATTCGCGCTGAATTGGCTGCAATAAGCAGTGATGAATGCATTCAGATTGATATCAAAGTGGTAAGTGGAAACTCTTGTGGTGGAAGCATTTTATTGTAGCACTTTGAATGATTTTCCTCATTCATGTTTTGCTTCTGAAACACTCAAGGCAAATGAGAAATTTATTTAAGAAGAGTAGTAGCAGAGCTATTTGGAGGACTTTTAATGATGTGTCGCAACTTCACTGTGTGGTTGTTCAGAAAGCAGGTGGTAGTTGGTATTGAGAGAACTATGGATTTTGAGTTAGTTGAAAATAAGTTAATTTGTATTTTTAGCTACCAGCCAATTATGACTTCGAAATTCCAAAAACAATTTGGAAAATCCGGACTTCGAAGAGCAAATATGGTGAATTTTTTTTTCTTTGATTCGTTTCTAAATGCCTAATTCACAGCGTTTTTTTAGTGAAAATAAATATTTCAAATGAGAAGACTATGGAAGATGTTAGGCTGATTCATGCAGATTGTTTAATTTTCGCAAAGGAAAGCACGGGACGTCATTAATACTTTTTTTTAAAGAACAATAAGAACTTGCTTTAATTTATCATGATTTTTGCTGTTAAGTTTGGGAGATAATAATTCTTTGGTAAGAAAATGTTCCCCCCAATTGGGTCGCGTAGTAGAACTTTAAAGTCAGTGCTATTTGTCATCTTCAGTTCTTGACGGAACTAGCATTTTCATTTATAAAAAAATTTGTAAGTTTAGTCGCGTTGCAATTCCCAGAAGGTCTTTTAATCTATGCTTGTGCCATATCCGATATTTTACAAAAGTATACTGGTTGCGAGACGATTATCATGGGTGACGTAACTTATGGAGCTTGTTGCATAGACGACTATACTGCCAGAGCTCTTGGTAAATATCACTTTTTACATATAATTAGGGTAAACGTTTGTTTGTAGAAAATCATTTCTTTTCTTTATTTCATGTCACACTGCTTTAGGATGCGATTTATTGGTTCATTATGGACACAGTTGTCTTGTGCCGATTCAGAGTACAGAAGGTATCAATGTCCTCTATGTGTTCGTCAATATTAACATGAATCTAAGCCACTTTATAGACACTTTTAAAGTGAATTTTGACAGAAGTAAAAAAGTTGCTCTGGTCAGTACAATACAGTTTGTTTCATCCCTACAGGTACTTTATCGAGTTATATTCATTGTTTTT